CTTTCTTACATTTGGCTCTCCTTTTTCTACTGTCACAATCATACTTGCTCTTTTATGGGGAATCCTGCTGTACTAGGATCTAATCCATTGCTAAACAAGGGACAGTTTTGTACCCCAAAGGACATTTAGCAATATCTGGAGACATTTTTGATTGTTGCACCTCAGGGATACTACTGGCATGTAGTGGGTAGAAGCCAGGGATGCTACATCCTACAGTGCATAGACAGTCAGTGCCCCTATACAATAAAGAATTGTCCAGCCCAAAATATCACTAGTGCTAAGGTTGAGATTCCCCACTCTCAGGGCTTGTATGACTGACTCCTGACTTGTTCTTACAGGTGGAGCAGCTTCGCCAGGCAATTGAGGAACTGTATTACTTTGAATTTGTGGTGGACGACTTGCCAATCCGTGGTTTTGTGGGTTACATGGAGGAGAGTGGCTTCCTGCCACACAGCCACAAGATAGGACTCTGGACTCATTTGGACTTCCACCTAGAATTCCATGGAGATCGAATAATATTTGCCAATGTTTCAGTACGGGACGTCAAGCCCCACAGCTTGGACGGGTTACGATCTGATGAGCTCCTAGGCCTCACCCACACTTATAGTGTGCGCTGGTCTGAGACTTCAGTAGAACATCGGAATGACAGGCGCCGTGGTGATGATGGTGGTTTCTTTCCTCGAACATTGGAAATCCACTGGTTGTCCATTATCAACTCCATGGTGCTTGTGTTTTTACTGGTGGGTTTTGTGGCTGTCATTCTAATGCGTGTACTTCGGAATGACCTGGCTCGGTACAACCTAGATGAGGAGACTAGCTCTGGAGGTTCTGGTGATGACTTTGACCAGGGTGACAATGGCTGGAAAATTATCCATACAGATGTCTTCCGCTTCCCTCCATACCGTGGTCTGCTGTGTGCTGTGCTTGGCGTAGGTTCCCAGTTCCTGGCCCTTGGCACTGGTGAGGTGATAAGAATTAATTGGGGATTTCTTTCAAGGGGTAGGTAGCTTGTTAGAAAAGCTTTGTGCTGCCAAGTTTGGTGATACATGTCTGTAATCCCAGTCCTCAAGCCCTGAGGAGAGGATCACATGTTTGAGCCCAGCCTGGGAAATTTAGTGACTTAGACCCTATCTCAAAAAAAATTTTTTAAATTTATTTTTAAAGGGTTGGGAAAGCCAGGTACAGTGGCACATGCCTGTAATCTCAGCACTTAGGAGGCTGAGGTAGGAGGATTACCATGAGTTCGAAGCCAACCCAGGCTATAAAGTAAGTTCAAGCCCAGTTTGAACAAATGGTGTGACTCTGTCTCAAAAAACTAAAATAAACAGTAAAGGACTGAGGATATAGCATAGGCTAAGGCCCTAGGTTCCTGCTCCAGTACTACAAAAGAAAAGAGAAAAAGAAGAAAAGATAAGGTCTGTGGATCTCCTATCCAAGGTGAGGGGTAGACCTAGGGGTTAAAGTGGCTTTAGTGAGGATGTGTTTTCTATTGTAGATTTTTCGGACAACAGATTTGGGCTAGGTTGTTTTGCTGGAGCCCCTGGGTCAGGGAAAAGGGAGGGCTGATTCTTCTGAAATTGCAGAGGGACAGATGAGACCTAACAGGCTTTCTACTACCACCTTGTAGGCATCATTGTCATGGCACTGCTGGGCATGTTCAATGTGCACCGCCATGGAGCCATTAATTCAGCAGCCATCTTGTTGTATGCCCTGACTTGCTGCATCTCTGGCTACGTGTCCAGCCATTTCTACCGGCAGATTGGAGGCGAGCGTTGGGTGTGGAACATCATTCTCACTACCAGTCTGTTCTCTGGTGAGGACTTCCCCTTTCCCTTGAATCTGCTTGGACTTAAGAACTAAGATCACATGCCAGGTGTGGTGGTGCATACCTGTAATCCCAGCATTTTGGAGGCTGAGGCAGGCGGATCACCAAGAGTTTAAGGCCAGCCTGGGCTATATAGTGAGTTCAAGGCCAGCCTAGACTACACAGCAAGACCCTGTCTCAAAAAAAAAAACCTAGGGCCTGAGATTTAGCCCAGTGATTCTGCCGCCTGCCTCAAAAGTGCAAGGACTGGAGTTCAATCCCCAGTACCAAGAAAAAAAAAAAACCTAGAACAACATCATGGAAGCTGGAATAGAATTGGAGTGAAGCTTTTTTTTTTTTTTTTTTTATTGTCTTTTTGGTAGTGGGGATTGAACTCGGGATCTTGCACTTTCGAGGAAGGCGACAGAACCACTGAGCTAAATCCCTGGCCCTAGAGTGAGGCTTTAAGAGTAGGAATATAGGCCATAAAAGAGAAATGTAAAGAAGGGAGAAAAAGGATGGAAAGAAAAAAGAGTAAGATTTCCTTTGAATAATTAAAAGTCTTTAAGTTTTAAAACATTTTAGGCAATGTAGTAAGCACCTGACATATTTTCATCTCATTAAATCCTCACAGTAACTGTGAAATAGATGGTAACATTCCGTAGCACAGATGAGGAAACTGAACTTCAGCCTAGCTAAATAACTTGCCCAAGCTTATATTTCTACAAAGTAGTGAACCGTATTTCAGACCCAGGCAGTCTGAATCTAAGGCCTGTATTCTCAACTATTATACTTAATACTTTGAATTTATTTTTTTATACTCCCTCTTTTGCTTTGAAGATAGGCACACCTGTAATCCTAGCATTTCTGAAGGCTGAGACAGGATTATTGCTCTGTGAGTTAGAGGCCAGCCTGAGATACAGTGAGTTAAAGGCCAGCATGAACTTACATAGCAAGACCTCCATCTCACAAAACAAAAAAGAGAAAACAAAATAAGAACACACACACATACAAGGTTTGAAAAAAGGCAGTAGTAATCTGCATTCTGAATCCTACTTGTTCTAATTTTAAGTGTTTGACTTATATCCCATCACATTTATATTTGAAGCAGGGCTTTCTGAAAACGGGATTATCCAAAGGAATGTCTTTACTAGGAATCACCAATGCCACACAAGACAGACCACTAGAGGATTTGTGTCACTCCCAGATCATGATGTAGCAACAACTGCCTTGACACTGGGTCAGGAAGAGGGTACTGACAAGGAACAAAGAACAGTGGGATCAAAGGGTAAAGGTGAAAGCAGTGGCTTTCATGGACATCCAGGAGGACAGGTGGCTGTTACAGTGTGGCAGGCTGTTTCACCCCCCCCCCGTCCTTTAGGTCCAGTCTGAGTCAGTGCCCCCCTGAGATGTAGCTCCTAGTGCTCACCCTCCCTCTGGGGGCCATCCCTGCAGTGCCTTTCTTCCTGACGTGGAGTGTGGTGAACTCGGTGCATTGGGCTAATGGTTCAACACAGGCTCTGCCAGCCACCACCATCCTGCTGCTTCTGACGGTTTGGCTGCTGGTAGGATTTCCTCTCACCGTCATTGGAGGCATCTTTGGGAAGAACAACGCTAACCCTTTTGATGCACCTTGTCGCACCAAGAACATCGCCCGGGAGATCCCGCCCCAGCCTTGGTACAAATCTACTGTCATCCACATGACTGTTGGAGGCTTCCTGCCTTTCAGGTATCCTCCCTTTATTCCATGGCCATCACACTGAAGTTCTTGATTTCAACTCACCCATTACCATAACCCAGTGATAATCCCTGGATCGGTAGTACCCCAGGCATGAGCTTCAGTCAGTTTAGATATGGCAGTATCGCACTTGTAAAGCTCTCCTCCTTGATGAATTGAAAAAGTAATGAAATGGGCTTTAAGCCCCACATGATGCCTGTAAGCAGTAGGCAGAAACTAGGTCCTGGTTTATGTTTTGTATTCATGGGCATCCTGTGGGGCTTGAAGCTCATTTGATTACTCATTCAATATGCCGAGTACCTCTTTGTGTCAGGCATATAATGTAGTAAAATAAAATGAACAAGATCCTTATTTTTGATCTATCAGAGAAGATGTTTGGGAAATGAGAACAACTTATCATAGACAAGAATATCCATGAAGCTGGGAAATGTGGGACAGAGAATGGAGTGAACTCACTTTCCACAGTGACCAGCAACACGGGAGGGTGTGGGCTGTATTTTGGCTCACAGTGTGGTCAACGCACATTCCTTTGACCCTGTGTATCATCTCTTCTCTTCACAGTGCCATCTCTGTGGAGCTGTACTACATCTTTGCCACAGTCTGGGGTCGAGAACAGTACACTTTGTATGGCATCCTCTTCTTTGTCTTCGCCATCCTGCTAAGCGTGGGGGCTTGCATCTCCATTGCACTCACCTACTTCCAGTTGTCTGGAGAGGATTACCGCTGGTGGTGGCGATCTGTGCTGAGTGTCGGCTCCACCGGCCTCTTCATCTTCCTCTACTCAGTTTTCTACTATGCTAGGCGCTCCAACATGTCAGGGGCAGTACAGACAGTAGAATTCTTTGGCTACTCCTTACTCACCGGTTATGTCTTCTTTCTCATGCTGGGCACCATTTCCTTTTTTTCTTCCCTAAAATTCATCCGTTATATTTATGTTAACCTCAAGATGGACTGAGTTCTGAGTGGCAGAACTGTTGCTCTTCTCTCCCTTTCTTCATGCCTCCCCTGACTTGTCTTGACAGCTTCTCTTCTGACTGGGTGACTGAATTGTGTGCTGGCATTGTCCCCTTTGCCCTTTGGTCCTCCCTTCCCCACAGAGGGCCTGGAAATTATGAATCTATTATATAAGGAGTATATATTTGAACTTTTTAAGTTGCCTTTAGTTTTCGTCCTGATTTTTCTTTTTACAATTATCAAAATAAAATTTATTAAGAAAAAGGATCTTGTAGTTGGACGTTTTGGTCTGCTATAGAAACTCGAGGCCTGCTATTAGGAGCACAATCCTTTGGAAAGCTGAATCCACCTCTGAAGACACTAAACTCGAGTTCTTCAACAGAGCCTGGGAACTTTCAGCGGGAGGAACTCACATTGCCAGAGACCTGTTTCCACCTCCTAGTGGGCGCTCCCCCTAACAAGCCGCGGAACTCCGATTGGTTGTAGGAAGTGAGTTGAATCACCAAGGCGACAGGGGGCGTGGAGTATCACCCTTTCCGCCGGAAGTGGGCTCAGCGCCTCCACGTGCCGTCCCTCCCCTTCCCGGCCTTGTGGTGGCGGCTCAGCCGCTGCCATGGAGCCCGCCGGCCTGGAGGCGATCCTACAAGAACTGCTGTTGCCGGACACCGTGCGCATCCGCCGGGTATGGGACAGGCGGGACCTTGCCAGGGCGAGTGGGAGACTGCGGGAAAGGCCCGACTCTGACCACCAGTGTCCCCCTAGGCCACCGAACAGCTACGGATCGCCCTTCGTGACCCCGCCACCTTGCCAGCTCTCTGCCACCTGCTGGCCTCCTCAGGCGACCCTCAGGTGAGACTCCTGCTCACCCCGCCAAGCTTCCCACAGTACACCACTGGTCCAACCCAGCCCCCGCCCTCTGCAATTCATTCAGCATCTTCTGCCCCAGCAGTCACATGCCTCTCTGTTCATCTTAGATCCGACAGTTCGCAGCCGTGCTGACCCGTAGACGAGTGAGCACTCGCTGGCGACGCCTGCCACCGGAGCAGCGGGAGAGGTGGGCTGGGCTTGGGGTGGGGCGGGGCTGGACTGGACAGGACAGAGGCTGCTCTTGGGCAGGCTGGGCACCAAACACCTGCCACCTGTCTTACAGCCTCAAGTCCCTGGTCCTGGCGGCCCTGCAGAGAGAAACAGAGTAAGTGCCTACTGCCTTTTCTCAGGATCCTAACTGACTCCAGACTGAGACCGTCTCTAGGTTTCAGCTTTCTCTTTGAGCTTCAGACTGAGACTTGGGGGTAGGAACTTCAATTCTGCACTGAGATATAGCTAAGTTCTAAGGGTGGGTTGAAGATGAAAGCTCTTGAGAGTGGATGATGATGATCTGTCAAACTAGAGGCAGAAGAATGAGTCTGAAATTTAGGCTGCTTGAGGCAGAACTCACCAGATCACACACACACACACCCCACCCCACCTAGTGTTACTGGGCTCCCTGTGAGCTGCTGTTTTATTTGTCCCAACTTGGCAAAGACCTTGTGCCCACAACTCCTGAGGGTTTCTCTCCTGGCCACCATGGAGCCTGGGATGCCATGTCAGCAGAGGCTGTTGGAGGGTGATTGCAGGGTTGTTTTGTCTTTTCAGGCACTGTGTGAGCCTCAGCCTGGCCCAGCTCTCAGCCACCATTTTTCGAAAAGAAGGCCTGGAGGCCTGGCCTCAGCTCATGCAGCTTCTTCAGCACAGTACTCACAGCCCCCAAATCCCTGAGAGAGAGGTACCATTGCACTGTTGGCAGGAGGGAGAGACCAACAGACTAGGTAGGCTAAGCTTTTCCCTCCCATCGTCTACTTCTGGCCAGATGGGGCTTTTGATGCTGAGTGTGGTGATGACTTCCCAACCCGAGGCCTTCCAACCTTACCACCGAGAGCTTCTTCAGCTTCTGAATGAAACTCTTGTTGAAGTGGGCTCTCCTGGGGTGCTGTTTTACTCCCTGCGCACTCTGGCCACCATGGCTCCCTACCTCAGCACTAACGACACGGTGAGACATGGGCCCTCACCTCCCTGGGTCTGTATCCTCAAGCCTTTGTAGGTCCTCAGCCTCGTAGGTTTCAGGGATGCTTCAGATTCTTATCCTGCCTTTTGTTTTTGCTAACAGTTAAAAGGGGAAACTAGGTGTGCCTGAGCCTGCTGGGGTGCCTGGGCTTCTTCTCCTTAAGAGTCAAAGTATGAGAAATCTGTCAGCTTCTGAGTCCTGAGATTAAGCTGTTTCATGCTTTCTGTGGTTCATCTTATTGTGTGTTCCTCAGCCTCTTGAACGGATGTTGGTGCCCAAGCTCATCGTGGCTGTGAAGACTCTGATCCCCATAGACGAGGTAAAGACAGGTGGGAGGGAGCTGCTGTTGGAAGGAACTTGCAGGAGCATCCACACTGGTCCCCTGAAGACTGGGATGGCAACCCTGTGACTTGTCCAACAGGTAAAGGCCTGTGAGGCTCTGGAGGCCCTGGATGAACTGCTGGAATCACAGGTGCCCATCATTACCCGACACCTCTCTGAGGTCCTCTCATTCTGCCTGGAGGTGAGCTGAGGGTAGGCATGGCCTTTGCTGCTTGTTTTGGCTGTTTTCTTTGTTTGCCTCTGATTCTCATCATTTTCTGGGCAGGTGGCTAGAAATGTGGCCCTAGGTGATACAATACGTGTGCGTATTCTCTGTTGCCTCACTTTCTTGGTCAAAGTCAAGAGCAAGGTGAGTGCCTCTGGTGTATATCAGCCCACCCCCCTGTCCACCTATATTCTCACTGCTAGGGCCTCTGTTCATTTCCAGGCATCTAAAATATCCTGGTTCAAGCCCAGTTGTTGCCTGGGAGGTTGGGAGTCTCCCGCTAGACTCTTGTTGCCTGGAAGACTAGAATTTTGAATTCAAGCCCATCCTTAGAGCAGATTCTCAGGAACACTGCTCCCTTTTTCTTCTCAAGGCTTTACTGAAAAATCGTCTTCTGCCTCCTTTGCTGCACACCCTTTTCCCCATTATGGCTGCTGAGCCCCCCCTGGGCCAATTGGATCCTGAGGACCAGGATTCTGAAGAGGAAGAATTGGAGATTTGGCTGTTGGGGGAGACTCCCAAGCACTTTGCTGTACAGGTGGGATGTGGGTCAGGCAGGAATGAGGTGGTAAGTGGCTATGAAAGGTTGGGGAAGCAGAGATGGAGTCCTGCAGTCTCCCTGATGTTTCTCAGGTTGTGGACATGCTGGCATTACACCTCCCCCCTGAGAAGCTCTGTCCCCAGCTGGTAAGTATGGCTCTCTCCTAGTGTCCCTACTGCCAGGGGTGCCTAGACCATGGATGTTTGGGCCCTGGTAGGTGTGATGGGCCTCTTGCCACAGGAATGGGCAGGCCCTTGCTGGGTTTTCTGGAGAGTCCCACATGGTCCCCTAGATGCCCATGCTGGAAGAGGCCTTGCGGAGTGAGAGTCCTTATCAGCGCAAGGCTGGGCTACTGGTGTTGGCTGTGCTGTCGGATGGGGCTGGTGACCACATCAGGCAGAGGTATGCATTCAGTCCTGGTCCCAGTGTGAGGGTGGGCCTTGGGGAAAAGGGCTGCACATTCCATGGCAATCCTTGTTCACTTGCTGGAGCTCAATTTTTGATAGCATTAATTAGCTATAGCTGTTCTTCTCACTCATAACAATGTCCAGGTTTAGAAGATAAATGGCCTTCCAACTTCAGGGACCAAGGGGTGGTGCCCACCATCTGGTGACAGAGAAAACTTTGGTTTTTCTAGGGAAAATGAAGAGGATAGGTCAGCCTAAGGCTCTTACTTCCTGTCCTTCAGACTGTGTCCTCTTGTCCCACCCTGCAGACTGCTGCCCCCACTGCTGAAGATTGTCTGTAAGGGCCTGGAGGACCCTTCACAGGTTGTTCGTAATGCTGCGCTGTTTGCCCTGGGCCAGTTCTCAGAGAACCTACAGGTCAGCAAAGCTGAATGTGGGAGGCTGCCACTGGAAGAGTCCCTGATCTGTGCCAGGGACCAACTTCCCATCAGCTTTCATCTCTTTAAGCATCCTTGCTGCCATTGGCACTCAAGAGTGTCCCCTGGAGGTGAACCTAACTTGGCCCCACTTGTTCCTTCCCTCAGCCCCATATCAGCAGCTACTCAGGAGAGGTGATGCCACTGCTCCTTGCCTGTCTGAAGTCAGTGCCTCTAGGGCATACACATCGTCTAGCCAAGGCCTGCTATGCCCTGGAGAACTTCGTGGAAAACCTAGGTATTAATAGCAGTGAAGACTGCAGGGGAGGGGATGAAGCCACAGCTTTGACTCAAGGGAGGAGAATATGTTTCCCTGAATCACTGCCTATGGGAGGGAGAGGGGCATAGAAGGGGTGCAAAAAAGTCAGCTTGAAGGGGCCAGGAATATAGCTCAGCAGCTCCACCCCTGCCTGGCAAACACAAGGTTCTGAGTTTGATTCTTGCTACTGGGGGAAAAAAAGAAGAAAGTCAGCTTGGCAGGAGGTGGACTTGCAGAATGTTAGAGACCTAGGTTGGTTGGTGAAGGAGTGTCCTTTCCCACAGGGCCCAAAGTGCAGCCCTACCTTCCGGAGCTTATGGAGTGTATGCTTCCGCCTTTGAGGAACTCCAGCAGCCCCCGGGCCAAGGAGCTGGCCGTGAGTGCCCTGGGGGCCATCGGTACGAAGAAAGAGGCAGGAGACGAGGGCATAGGATTTACCCAGAGAGCCTGTGGCAGGTAGTCCTTACCCCCTTTCCAACTTTGATTCTGCCTTTCCATCCTGCAGCCACAGCTGCCCAGGCCTCCCTGCTGCCCTACTTCCCCACCATCGTGGAACATCTTCGAGAATTCCTGTTGGCAGGACATGAAGACCTTCAGCCTGTGCAGATCCAGAGCCTGGGTGAGTGAGGGGCTCCCAGGCAGGAGCCCTAGTGCCAGGGAAGGACCGGTGTTTGCCTAGTATTCGCAGGGTGCTCTTCCAGGGCAGCACAGTGTTGTCTTCTCAAGGAAGAAGGTGTTCTCCATGCTGTACCTGGGAGTGGGATAGAATTTTTTTTTTTTTTTTTTGGTACTGGGGATCGAACTCTGGTCCTTGCACTTGCAAGGCAGGCAGTGGAACCACTGAGCTAAATCCTCAGCCCTGGGATAGAATTTCTAACTCCTCCCAGCTGCCATTTCTGGTCCCTTAGCCCACCTGTGTGTCAGGGTGCTAACTGAGCCCTTGTCCCCACAGAGACACTGGGGGTGCTGGCACGAGCATTGGGGGACCCCATGAGGCCTCTGGCTGAGGAATGCTGTCAGTTGGGGCTGGGCCTATGCGACCAGGTAGACGACCCTGACTTGCGGCGCTGCACGTGAGTGACTCCCTTATCCTGCTCCTGCCTCTCCTGCCCACCACAGGATCCACAGTCCTCATCCAGACTCCATCCTCTGGTTTTGGGCCACAGCCAGGATTCCCTGAGCTCTCCCATCCTGTCTGGCTCCAGCAGGCAGTCTCATACAGCTTCTGTCTGTCTCTAACAGATACAGCCTATTTGCAGCCTTATCGGGGCTGATGGGTGAGAGCCTGGCACCCTACCTGCCACAGATCACCACGCTCATGCTGTTGTCACTGCGTTCCACTGAGGGCATTGTGGTGAGCAGAGGGTGGCCATTGGCTGGGCTTTTAGACAAGGGTAGCACTGTGCTGAGACTTACTGCCTGGGCCCAGCTGAGTCAGAGGTCCTGCTGTCCTCTTTCTTCCAGCCTCAGTATGATGGAAGCAGCTCCTTCCTTCTGTTTGATGATGAAAGCGATGGGGAGGAAGAGGAGGAACTCATGGATGAGGATGCTGAAGAGGAGGATGACTCTGAGATCTCAGGGTATGGAAGGTGCTTAGAGAAGTGCAGGCTTTGACAAGGGGTCGGTGCCGCTGTTACTGGTACCTGATTGCCATCTGCCTTCCCATCTTCCTCTAGGTACAGTGTGGAGAATGCCTTCTTTGATGAGAAGGAAGACACCTGTGCTGCCCTGGGGGAGATCTCCGTGAACACTAGGTGAGCACCAGGCCTTTTCTGGCACTGGGAGCCTTCCCTAGGAGCACTTTCCCCATGGCTATGTGTCTATCCACAGTGTGGCCTTCCTTCCATACATGGAGAGTATTTTTGAAGAAGTATTCAAGCTGCTGGAGGTGAGTTGGCGAGTGGGCAGGATAGATAGGGCTGTGGCTGTGTTGACCCTGCACCAGTAAGCACACACCTGCCCTCTTCATTACTCAGTGTCCTCACCTGAATGTGCGGAAGGCAGCCCATGAGGCTCTGGGTCAGTTCTGCTGTGCACTGCACAAGGCCTGTCAAAGCTACCCCTCAGAACCCAACAGTGCTGGTGAGAAGGGGAGGCCAGACCATGCTGGGAACTCTGGTGGAAGGGCCAAGGCCTGACTGGGGCTTCAGCCAATAATGTCCCCAGCTCTGCAGGCAGCTCTGGCACGGGTGATAGCATCTTACATGCAGGCAGTGAATGGGGAACGGGAGCGCCAGGTGGTGATGGCCGTGCTGGAGGCCCTGACAGGAGTGCTACGCAGCTGTGGGGCCCTCACGCTGCAGCCGCCTGGGTGCCTTGCTGAGCTATGCAGCATGCTCAAGGCTGTGCTACAGAGAAAGGTGAGCAGGGCAGGGGCTGTAGAAGGAGGTGCTGGACCCCCGAGTAGTGGCTAGTTGGATACAAATCCAGCTCCTTGTATCCCTCCACCCCCAAAAGGGGAAAGGGCAGGAGATCCCAGGCTTAGCTGAGCTATATCTTCCTACAGATAGCCTGTCAGGACACTGACGAGGAGGAAGAAGATGACAGTCAGGTGAGAGCTACAGATAACAGGTGAGGTAGTCCAGGCAGTCCCATGGGGCTGGGGTAGAAGGTACACTTAGGGTGGCCCCGGGGAGCCAGGGGTGCTGGGAGAGATTGGTAAGGCCCAGAATGATTCAATCCTGACCACTAAGGCAGTGGATGGGGGTGGGCTTGAAGTGCTAGGCATAGCAGGAGAACTAGAGCTGCAAAAAAGCCCTGTCTGAAAGCAGGGCAGTCTGTGAACCAAGGCAACTCCTGGAGCCCCTATGGCCAGTGGCCGAGCCAATTGGAGAAGTGCATAGTCACAGAGCTGGCCCAGGTGCCCCAGCCCCTGACCTGGCTCCACAGGCTGAATATGATGCCATGTTGCTGGAGCACGCTGGAGAAGCCATCCCTGCCCTGGCAGCTGCAGCTGGGGGAGACACCTTTGCTCCTTTCTTTGCTGGCTTCTTGCCATTTTTGCTATGTAAGACGGTGAGTGTTTCCTCCTCTGGCTTCAAACCCAGTCCACCGCAGTGCCCACCACACACTGTGTCCAGGTCCCAGGCTCATTTGCAACCCTTCCCTGCCCTTGCCTACAGAAACAGAGCTGCACAGTGGCAGAGAAGTCCTTTGCAGTAGGGACACTGGCAGAGTCCATTCAGGGTCTGGGTGCTGCCTCAGCACAGTTTGTATCTCCGCTGCTCCCTGTGCTGTTGAGCTCCACCCGAGAGGCAGATCCTGAGGTGAGAAGCAATGCCATCTTTGGGCTGGGCGTCCTGGCAGAGTTCGGGGGCTGCCCTGCTCAGGAGTATCCTTGGTTTGCAGGAATGGAGGGTGGCCTGGGAGAGTGTCCCCTGGGCTGGGGGATGGATGAGGTCTACCTATGTGTGCGCCTGTTCCTTGACCAAGGACCAGCCACTTCCCCAAGCTGCTGGGCCTCCTTTTGCCCCTCCTGGCACGGGAGCGACATGATCGTGTCCGTGACAACATCTGTGGAGCCCTCGCCCGCCTGCTGATGGCCAGTCCAACAAGGAAACCAGAGCCCCAGGTGAAGTAGAGGGCATCAGGCAGGAAGGTGGTGGAGGGGACAGGATTCGAGGCCTGAAGCATCTGTGTGTCCAGGTGCTGGCTGCCTTGCTGCATGCCCTGCCACTGAGGGAAGACTTGGAGGAATGGGTTACCATAGGGCACCTCTTCAGCTTCCTGTACCAGAGCAGCCCTGATCAGGTAACCTCGATGCTGGCAGCCCTCAGACTCAATGATATGCAAAGATGATATCAGCTGTAGCTAGTGCAGGGTTTCAGCCATCCTTAGACATAGCCAACATAGCCATTTTATTTGTCTGCTGGGATTGGCAGCCAGTCTTGTAATGGGAAAGAAGGGGCTTCCTCTCCCCAAAGTATTTTTCCTCAGTGAGCTGCATTCCTACCCTCTGCCCTGAGCCTGTAATGGCAACTTCCCTTGTTCATTTCCTAAGCCAGGGCTAGGAAACTGTTCTGGAGCCTGAGTACCTCTGGGCTACCCCAGTGTATATTTCAATAAGAGAAGCCCTGGTTTCTGAGTGAAGTTTTGCATATACCAGATAACTGTTTGGACTCGTGTCCCGGTGTTTTTATGTCACTTTTGTCTTAGAGGTTTAGAGTTGTTGTGGTTTGTGTTTTTTTGAGTCTGTCTTGTTGGAGAGTGCCTGGTGTCCAGGCTTCTTTTGGTCTTGAGGCTATGACTATAATCATCTGGTCACACATCTCCCCTCTCCTCCAAAAAGTTATTACCATGCATTCTTATTCCTTCTCATGTCCACATTTGTCTCGGATGTCTGTGGATTCCTACTGGGCTCAAACCGCCCTGCTAGGAGACTGCCTGTCCTTTTCCTGACCACCCACCACAGTGGCCCAGGGCTGCTACTACCCCTGAGTTGATCATTCTTTCCCACAGGTTGTAGATGTGGCTCCTGAGCTGTTGCGCATCTGCAGCCTCATACTAGCTGACAACAAGATCCCACCAGGTGAGGGTGGCAGGCATGTGCAGGAGCTGGGGGAGGCTGAGAATAACAGGGCTCAAAGGGCATGGGGCAGTCAGGGTTTGGAGTCCAGTCCTCCCCTGTAACCTCTCCCTGTGCTCTCCCCCCACCCCAGACACCAAGACCTCACTGCTGTTGCTGCTGACATTCCTGGCCAAACAGCACGCTGACAGCTTCCACACAGCGCTGGGCTTACTCTCTGCTGACAAGGCTCAGGAGCTCCAGGCCATGCTGAGCTTCACCTAAACTTCAGAGAGAGCTGAGCCTGCCCAGGCCCTAAGACCGCCTCACAGCCCAGTTCCAGCTCACACCCTACCAAAGATTCTGGGCCTCGTCTCCATTTGGAGCCAGCCCTGCTTGCTGCCTTAACATGGGTGTCCTTGGGGCTGGGTCTGTTACAAGTGGAGTCACGACATCAGATTGTAATAAAGGTAATTTGTTTTCTGCTTGGACAATAGCTCTGTGAGCAGGGAGGCTAGAGATGCGCATCTAGAAATGAGATAGGCAGGCCCAGTGAGGCAGGACGTGGTTTAATGAAGCCAGTTGTTTAGTAGCCTTGTAAATGGGCTCTACCCACAGTGGAATCTGGGCCCCGGCCGAATCAGGAGGCGCCCATATGGCTTCTCTTGTTCTACATGAAAAATCTGCTGTGCTGAGAGCACTAGGCAAGAGAAGAGAAAAACATTTTTAAATGAATAAAAAGCAAAAAGTTTTTTAAAGAGAGAAGGCAGGTCACAGGGATTCTCTCTTGTGTCCTCTGTTCTGTGTGTCCCTACCTTACTTTCCACACACACATGCCCACACTCACCCAAGAGGAGGTAGAAGACCCTGGCAGCCATCCTGCGAGGGCTGAGAGGTGACACCAGGCTGCTGAAGTCAGGCTCCCTGTTCGCCTGGAGCTCCAGTGCCACTGCCCTGTAGGAATCAAGAACCATTAGCTGAGGCACCAGCCTAGGTCCACCCCATCGAGGCACCCTCTTCCCCAGCACCTGTGCACCGCCTCTAATGAGGGTAGCTCGGGCTCAGGGGGCAGCTCCAAGGGTAGCTCCATGGGCACCTCAGGGAGTTCAGGCACCACTGGCAATGCAGGGGCCTCTGGCTGCTCTGCCTCAGCCCAGGGCCTAGGAAAACAAGGGAGTCAGAGCAGGGCAGTGGCAGCTATGGCAGTAGGGGCACAGCCATCCTAGTCATTTCCCCCACCCTGGCCAAGGTTGCTGGCCTAAGCTTCTTACCACCTTTCTTCTGGCGGGGCAAAGCTGATTCGGGACTTCTCCTCTTCAGCTGCTTCTAGTGAGATCTCTGTTGGGCGAGGGAAGGTGCTGAGGGGGGTTTCTGCTTGGCTCTAAGCAGTCAGGGCCTTGTGACTAGATGGATATGGCTTAGTGGTAGAGTGTCTAACGGCAGGAAGCCCTGGGTTCAATCTGCAGCACCACATACCATACTGTGGCCACCCAGTTCACCTAGACACCAGAGCTGTTTTGACTGGTGGAAAATATCTAGGTGAGCGACCTGCAGAGAATCAGTGTGTGCTTCCTTGTTATACACCCTTGGTCTGGTAAGAGACAGCTTTGCAGTTGGAACAATGATTAGGGTGGTGGTTTCCACTGTCCCCACTTCTACAGGTGCTTTACCTGAAGACACCATGAGGGGACCACTAGGTTCCTGGGCCTCTCTGAGGACCTAGAAATGGGAGAAGGGGAACTGAGAGCCAAGCATCTGGGGCTTGGAGCTCTGATAGAAGGCTCAAAACCAAGTTTGTGCCACTGATGAGTGGCAGAGCCTGGTGGAGCTCAGGCAAGGCAGGAAGCAGTGAGGTGCTGTTACCTCAATCTCACTCAGAGCTTCAGTCTTTCTCCTTTCCTCCTCAGCTGCTGCCTCCCTTGCAGCAGCCTCCTCTTCAGCCTCCAGGGATGGTCTTCGCCTAACCAATCTTGGGGGAATCTGGGCACAGTGGGTCCAGAAATCCAGTAGTTCCAGGGGTAACCACCCAGCTGGGGATGAGGGGACAGTGTTTGAGTCATAAGGAACATCAAAAGTGCAGAATCTAGGTTCTGAAGAGCCCATGTCCAATTCCTGCCATTCTTACGGAGAGCTGGGGTTCTGAACAGCTCCGCAGGGCTTGTGATTGTCTTCTCAAGAGGCTGTACCATTGGCTGTGTGGAGGAAAAGGCCAGGAGCCCTGTTACTGGGGAGCCACTCCTCAGTGCCCCTTCACCTCTTGTGTGCTTTTCCAGTTTCTGCACATCTCTCAGGCTCATGATCCTGCCTGTCCTGCTCATTGATAAAAGAGTTTTTAACCTGGTGTCCATTGGTGTGCATGCAAAGTTGGGAGTGTATGTAAACCCACAGATCACATGCACTTTCAAGGGAATGGGAGCTTTCATCACATTCCCAGTGTTCCCCCAAGAGTTTAGAAGGCCCACCCTGACCTGTGTCTATCCCTTCCCCCAGCAGTCTGGGCTTCACTCACACACTCCCAGCAGTGGGCTCTGGTTTGCAGTTGTTCCTGGAATTTCTCCCGGGAAATCTGAGTTTCCTTGTCCCAGAACAGTAATGGGCGGCGTCGACGGCGAGCTGGTGGCCTCTCAGGAGGTGGGGGCCGTCTCTGCGGAGTAACGGGAGGTGGAGGCAAGGCTACCCATCATTCCCTTCCCTGGCATCTTGGAGGCCTGCTAATGGCTGCACACACTGCCTCTGGGGCTTCTGGGAAGGCTTAGGCAAGGCTACCACAGGCTTGCACTAGAGCATACTTACCTATTTGGAAAGTGAGGCCACAACAACGAGGCATAGAAAAGGACATCTTTTACTGATGTGCACAAAGACTCCACGTAAGCAACCAGTGACCCTGAACTTGGGGAAGCAGCTCTGGGTGCGAGTGCAAGAGGAGGAGGCTCCTAAAGGATCCACTCACCTCAGGGCTGGGCAGGGCCGGCAGACGCAGCTCCTCTGGGGGAGTCACCTCTGCAATGACACCAGAGGTCCTGGCTTTCCTATAAGGCCCTTCACTCTGGTGGCCACCAGGACAAGAAGCTACAGGTTTCCCACACCCACCTCCCTTCAGCAGGCTGGCAGATGGCTTTCATCTGCAACAGCTATGCAGGTATCTGCACTACAGCACCCAGGCATGGTGGACACTCACCCGTGACTAGGGTAATAGGCTCCCAGACTACTGGCTTCAGCTCTTCAGGGGCCAGGACCTCTTCAGGAAGTGGCTCTCTAATCTCTTCTATTCTGTAGGGAAATAGGAGAAATTAGAAACACTTTTCCCAACACTGATCCTCCTACCTGGTTCAGGAACTCCTGCTCTTACTGTGGAGGAGCTGGAGGTGACACTGAGGGGACTACAATTTCAGCCTCCGGGGCCCGAATCTCTTCCTTGAACTCTGCAGAGATAGGATCAGAACTGAGAGGGCAGAAGAGATAAGGGCACTGCTAAGTCCCAGACTGCCCATGCCAGGGGTCTGCCCATCCAGTGCAGGCTGCCGGGGAAGCCTGCCTTTCCGATATTCCTCTAACAAGATAGCTTCTTCTTCCTCTGCAATCAGTAGCTCCAAGTCTCGTCGGGTGACCTCTGGGAGTTCCCGTTCACCCTATCAAGAGAGGAAAATCAAGGGGAGAGGGACCATTTATTTTGCTTTTTTGTCTTTGTTTTTGTTTTTTTGAAACAGGGTCAAACTATGTAGTTCAGTCTGGCCTTGAACTCAGTATGTAGTCCAGGCTAGCTTCAAACTTGTGGCAATCCTCCTGCTTCAGCCTCCGGAGTTTACAGGCCTCCCTGTTTACAGGCCGTAACCACCATACCTGGCTCATCAGTTTCATTTACTTTGTTTTGAAATAGGGTCTCTATATGCTGGGGATTTAGCTCAGCAGTTCCGGTGCCTGCCTCACAAGCACAAGATTCCAAGTTTGATCCCCGGTACCAAAAAAAAAAAAAGGAATAGGGTCTCTATGTAGTCCAGGCTGGCCTCTCTCTTTTTTTTTTTTCCAGCCAGGAATCAAACTCAGGACCTTGTGCTTGCCAGGCAGGCCTGGCATCACTGAGCTAAATCCCTGGTCCAAGGCCTCTAACTCTTGATCCTTCTGTCTCAGTCTCCTTAGTGATAAGATTATAGGCATGGACCACTATGCCTGGCTCAATTCAAGTGCTGTAAAAGGTGAGTGGAAAGCCAGGCAAGGTGGCACATGTCTGTAAATCCCAGCACTTGGGAGACGAAGGCAGGAGTATCACTGCAAGTTCAAGGCCAGCCTAGGCTACAGAGCGAGACCTTGTCTCAAAAAAAAAAAAAAAAAAAAAAAAAAAGGAGTGGATTCAGGAAAATGAATCCTCTGAGATGGATCCTGGATCCCACAGGGCCAGACCTGAGGAAGCCCATTGTATGTGCTCAAGTGCGAGGGTCAGGGACAGGAGAAGAAGAAATGGAGACAGAGAAGACAGGACTGTGGGAGGCAGAGAAACAGATGCAAGGGGGTGGCGTCTAAGGCCCTGTATGCAGCAGAATGACTCACCTCGATGTGCAGCATGCGTATGGGCTCCACTTCCCGGAGTGTGATGACCTCAGGAGGCAACACAGTCACCAAGAGCCTTTCTGGAGGGGTAAGGGAGTCAGGCCAGCCCCTCTGCTTCTATCCAAGTTCCCAAACCCATGTTGTGAGGCAAAATCAACTTGCGTTCTAGTCAGACACAAGGCAGCTTCTGGCAACCTGATCCTGAGTCCACTACTTCACCACTGGGGAGCCTTGCTTTCCTCATCCGCAAAAAAGAGGCAAGAATTCTGATCTCATAGGACTCTTACAGGGTGTGATGAGGTTATACACATGGGGCCTGGCTCAGAAATGGTTTATTTCTTTAGTTCTTGGACCTTCCCATACCTCTCACCGGAAAGAAAGTTCTCTGCTGACCTGGCTTCCTGGGCTCTGTAGGAACTTCAGGAGGGGTCACCTCATAAACTCTCTCTGGGATTGCAGCCTCTAAGAGATGTCGAATCTTTGGGGAAGAATTGGGGACAAAGATAGTTTTCCACGTCAGCCCTGTTTTCCCACTTTCACACTATTCAGCCAATGAAAGGTAATCTGGTAAATCTCCTTTTATATATAATTCTTTTTTGGGGTGATTGAATCCTACATGCTGAGCAAATGCTCCACCACAGAACTACATCCCCAGACCTATACCTAATTCTTATGCATGGACACCAGTGTGCAGTAAACCCACTTGCCACCTAGTCTCCTCTGCCCCTGCACATTCCTCACCACAACCCCCAAATTATCTAGTCTTTGTCAATCTGAACAAGAAAGTGTTGTGAGAGACAGGTAAATGGGAAAGATCTGTGTGTGTCTGTGCGGGGAGGGATACTGAGGATTGAACCAAGGGCCTCCACACTGAGCTACATCCTGTCTTTCCTTCCTTCTTTCCCTCCTCCTTTCCTTCATTTCTTATTCTCTAAATCATTTTTTTATTTTTGAGATAGAGCCTTGCTAAGTTACTAAATTGCCCAAGCTGGACTTAATCTTGTGATCTTCTTGCCTCAGCCTCATAGAGTGGTAGGATTAGATGTGCACCACCACGCCCAGCTAGGTGAATAGAAAGATACCTGATCTTGTGCAGATGGTCTACTAGTGAAACACATTTGTATATGATCCCAGCCAGTGTTGATGCAAAGGATGAAACAGGCCCTTGTAAAGTGCTGAATTTCCAAAGAGCATCTACTTCTGGCTGGGAGTGGGATAAAGACTTCATGGAGGGCTGGGGATTTAGCTCAGTGGTTCTGGCGCCTGCTATGCAAGCCCAAGGTCCCAAGTTCGATCCCCGGTATCAAAAAAAAAAAAAAAAAGTCTTGGGCCAGGGATTTAGCTCAGTGGTTTCACCGCCTGCTGCACAAGCACAAGGACCCGAGTTCGAACCCCAGTACCAAACAAAACAAAACAAAACAAGACTTCGTGGAAAAGGGTGGCATTTGAGCTAGGTCTGTAAGGATGTGTAGGACTTGACTAGTAGAAAATGAGGAGTGACCATTATGGGCCAGGGAAACTTCTTTTGCATAAACAAACAAGTGAATGTGGTCTCTTTGGGACACAGTGGGGCAAATTGATATAGGGGAGCTGAGGATGCCCAGGGTATGGGCTGAGATAGAAACATGAGGAAGGCCGTCCTGCCCTGGAGCACAGAGAGCACACATGCTGGGAGCCACTGTGTGAATGTGGAAGCAGGCAATGGGGTGACAGTATCTAAGCTTGGGGGTACTGGGAATGGATGAGGAGGAAAGAGATGAGGAAGACCAGTGCACAGACAGTGAGCCTGGATGAAACCTTGGCAGTGGGCACTGTGTGGAGATCAGTGGGGATAAAAGCTGTCTCATGCAGGGAGACCATCATTGTCAGGCCAGCCCTTAATAGACAAGCTCAGGGGCTTCACCAGCACCGGCCCAGGATGACGGGCCCTCTCCCTGTGTGCTGTGGGAGAGCTACGGCAGGCTCCGTTCCCCGAACCCCAGTGTCAGACTGACACTCCCCTTCTGCACTGTTAGCTCACAACTTTGAGGTGTGCCGGCAAGTGAGCCCCACCTGAGGGATATCAAAAGGACTGGGAAGTCTGGGATCCACAGACATCATCCCAAAAAAGGGGTCTGGAGCATCTTCCAGGGCCTCCATCATGGCCAGGTGGCTGGGAAGCAGCAGGCTGGGTCTAGGGGAGAATGTGGGCTGTCAGGGATGGAGACTGAGATAGGCTGAGGCTGAGCAGGTAGGTGCTCCACCAAAGCCTGGGTGGCCCCGATACCAGAGGCACACTCACAGTTCAGCCTCTACCATATCGATGCGGATCTGCAGCTGAGCCCGGTGCAAGCGCTCCAGGATGTGCTGGATGTCCTCTGAGGGAAGAAAGGCAAGGTAGAGAGTCAGCATAGCAGAAGACTGCTCAGCACTGCCCCACCCCTCTGGGCTCCCAGCCTTACCCACAAGGTACTGGCATTGCTGGGAGTAGACCCGGATGACGCCGATCTGCAGCTGGGCAGAGAGATACAGAGAGAAGCGGGGCCTGGGCAGGCCCGGCATCGGCGGTTCCGCTCGTACCAGCACATAGTTGAGGATTTCCTCGCTGGGGGAACAGGCACCCTGATCGTTGCTGCCCTAGCACTGGCTCACCCCACACTGCCGCCCCAGGCCCTCCTTCTGGCCTTTTCTGGGCCTTACCAGGTCTTCACAACATTCACTTCCAGGTATTCACGTTTTACCAAACGAGTGCCGCGCGTTGCCGCCAGCCTGGAGGAGAGGTGGGGGTCTGGAGGGGGCGCCATCAGGGTGGGCTCCCTGGGCGCCCCCTACCCTGGCGCACAGCAACCCAGCCCTCACCAGATGGTGGCGAAGCAGCCAGTGTGGCGCTGAAGCACGTTGGGATAGTAGAACATGGTCCCTCCGGATTTCAACCTGGACTCCCCCTCTTCTAGGTTTGGATTTCAATCGGAATTCTTTAGAGCCGGAGATTCTCAGCACCCTCAGGTGACAGGTTAGGATCTGGATTCCACCTCCAAAATGCAAATGAATGAAGCAATCAACTGGTGACTTAATGAAGGGGATAAGGGAACAGAGACGCAGGAGGTGGGCTGCTGCTTTCTGAGAGTGCATCGAACTTACTGGAAATGCGGCTTCCAGACGAGACTGGGCTCTCCAAGGGGAGGCCCCAGGTGGGCCGCCAAGCAGTGACCAAGGGAGCAGGTGGTCTCTGCAGCAGGGTTTCTTCTTCACTCCTGAGTCTTGCACTCAGTCCGGGTGGCCTTCCCTGGGGCGGGGTCACTATGAGCGGAGAAGCTCGTGCTGAGGAGCCTTTGTATCTATCTAGCTCCTCTTCGAGGCGAGGCCTCGCGGACAGCCAATGGGGAGCCAGCATCAGTGGGAACGCCGGTTCCTGTCGCTAAGCCACAGAGCCTTGGAGACAGGTAGCGAACCAATTGAAAGAACCCCCGTGGGGCATTGTGAGGTGTGCTGGCCAATAAGCTCTCATTCTCACCTTTAGTAACTAGGACTTCTTGGAGGGGCTATGCTGACCAGTGATTGGGGAGCAAATCCAGGCTCTCCCTGGCAACAAACTTGATAACAAAGTACCTCAACTGGTAGTGGGAAATAAGGTCATGTTGAGGGCAACTGTCTGCTTAGAGTGTAAAGGGGTGAAGGAGGCCCGCACTAGACTTGTGCTTAAATTCTGCTTCCCCCCCAATTCCACCAGGTCTGACTTTGCTTTCAGTTTACAGGAAGGGGAGGGGGGAATGGGAGACCTCAACAGAGACATTTTATTTATTTAGAGAAACCGTCTTGCTATGTAGTTCAGGCTGACATTTAACTATGCAGCCTAGGCTGTCCTCGAATCCATGGAGATCCTCCTGCCTCAGCCTCTTGAGTGCTGGGATTACAAGTGTACACCACCACACCCAACTCCTAGCCTGTTTTTGAGGTCCAAAGCGAAGGCCTCTAGCAAAAAAACTGTGGAGACCAGATTTTCCTATGTGAAGTGGCTATAGTGTTTGGGTGTTCAGCTATAGGCTCAATAACCCCTCTTCGTGGCTGACCCCAACCTTTTTTTTTTTTTGGTACCGGAGATCGAACTCGGGTCCTTGCGCTTGGGCAGCAGGCAGTGAAACCACTGAGCTAAATCCCCAGCCCTCAACCTTTTTGTTTTTACTATGGATCTGTACATAGGATTTCACTACAGCATTCAGGCTGGCTTTGAATGTATGTATGTATGCCCAGGCTCACCTTGAACTCATGGCGATCCTCCTGCATCAGCCTCTCACATACTGGGATTCCAAGTATGGACCACCACTCCTGGCTGCTACCTCTCCCACATTTTGGTAGCCTAGTGGGTACACCTCTGAACAGCACCAGGCCCAAACCCCATGGAACCCAGGCAGTATCTTTCCTAGATGTCAGCAAGAAGAGAACCCAAGTGCCCTGATTCTAAATTGGTATCTTTACCATCTCCTGCTACCTTCTCCCAGTAAATCAGACAGTGATTCTCCTTTGAATAAAATTTTATTTTAGATCCTTAGTGAAGACCTAGGAAGAAAATATAAAGTGCTTAGCTTTAGAGTTGAGGCTTGGGGAAGAAGGAAAGGACCCCTGAGTTCATACTACTTGGAAAGTTCCCAGTTCCTTAGGGATAAAAGAGAGCATGTTTCAAAAAAAATACTGTCAAAGGATAAAGTGTTCTCCACCAGTCAGGGTGCATAGAAGTTCCAGGACAACGCGGAGGCAGATCATACTGGAGTAAACACAAAGGAAGGCCGAGCAACAATTCGGAAGGGAGGGCTGGGAATTTAGCTCAGTGGTTCCGCCGCCTGCCTCGAAAGTGCAAGGTCCCGAGTTCAATCCCCAGTACCAAAAAAAAAAAAAGAGCAGTAACAATTTGGAAGGGAGTCCTTTCCAAAGGAGACAGGAGGAATAGAGGGGAAGTGGCAGGTGGATCCTCGGCTCTACATCAGGAACAGAGGGGCTCTCTGCTCCTCTGGCGTCTCCTTCAGTAAATGCCGGGCAAAGGCTTGCTCCATCTGCACCGGAAGAGATGGGGACTGGGGCTCAGTGAGCACAGCAGGGGCAGACACTCTCCCCAGGGACAGCCTCCCCCAAGGAGCCCCCTTCTCCCTGAAGACCACCTCACCCTCCCCTCGGACAGGTTACTGTGCCCCTGGTCTGACTCACTTGCACCGTGATAGGATTCTGTAGAGTATGGCTGGGGCCAGGGCTCTCTTCCCAGAAATGCAGTGTTACCTGGGACTTGGGTGGGGGGCCCAGGCCTTGGGAGTACCTGTCAAAGTCTGCAAGAGGGTCAAGGGTGAGAAGAGAGTGGGCTACAGGCAAGGAGGAAGTGTCAAGGAGCCCGTGGTGAAGAGGGGTAAGTGGGGCCACACAGAGATGAAGGCCAGAGCCTAAACTGTGGGGTCAGGAGAGATGCCAGGAACTAAGCTGCTACCCACCCCTGTACAAACAGAAAGGAAGCCTCTTCTTCAAGAGGTGCTTAGAGGTAGCCAGTTACTCTACAACCTGAAAAAGCTCTCCTGTGGGAGAGGTGGCGGCAGTCCTGGCAGCTAACAGCTTTGTTGTTGTCACACCCTCCCAGCACTAGAACACCCATGGCTCTGGGACCCCACACTCTGCATGCCTTCTGCTTTGGCCCCCTCCTAAGGTCAGATGTAGAGTTGAGAGGCAGCTGGAAATGGAATTCCAAGAGTGGATGGAGAGAGGACCATCTCAGGGGACACCTGCAGTGTGGCAGACGTAGTGTGGCAGGGCCAGGGAGTGTAGGGCACACTTGCTCTCCTACATGGGCATATGTAGAAGGGGCCCACAAGTCAAAATCTCTGTGCTCACTTGTCCACATGTTTCCCATAACTACCGTGTGCTTCAATGTGACAGTGCTCCCCAGGACATGACACTCTTATGCTAGCTCTCCCTGAACCTCATCTTCCATGACCTTAGCTGAGGAGGCAGAGCTGCCAGGGCTGAGTGATGGCCATGTGCACTGTGCACACGCAAGTGCAGCGGTACCAGCAGGACAGTCTCCTGGAGGACAGGGTGATGGCAGGACCTACCAGGCCAGGCTCAGAAGATGCTAACTAAGGTAGGAGGCTAGGCTGGGTGCCTAGCTCGAAGAGCCTCACCTCTGCAGAAGCAGGCAGTTTTGAAGAGCTCCATGCACTTGTTGCTGGGCAGCAGATGTGGGCCCGGGCCAGGTGGGGCCTGGGGTGCATTCCAGGAGATGGGGATGGGACAAAGGCGCTGCACAAAGACGCCTCGGGAGTTGCTGGCTACCAGGATGCCTTTTTCGAGCTGGCTCAGCAGGCGCTGGCTGGGCTCTCCTGGGTCAGGCTTGGGAAATATCACCTGTGTTATGGTGCTCTCAGAGCTGGAGGCCTCGGCCACAAGGCGACAGTCCAGGCTGTCCACCTGGCGCTGGTCCACCACACGCCCACTGTAGATGAAGGTGAGCAGCAGCGAGTAGTCTGGGGACAAAATAGCCCAGCTGCACCAGATGCCAGAGGAGCATGCAGCCCCGCTCCCCCAGGATACATCAGGTGAGCAAAGGGTTTAGAAAATGAAGCGGAGGTCTGGAGAATTCAGTGTCCTCATTTTGCTAATGAGAAAACTGAAGCCAGAGAGGGAAACCAAACAAGGACTGGGGAGGACTGAGGGGCTGGGGAGGTAGCTGCACCTTCCCAGGTTGAAACACATGCCCTTAGTTGGGCGTGGTGGCACATGCTTGTGATCCCAGCACTCGGGAGACTGAGACAGGAGGACTGCTGTGCGTTCAAGGCCAGCCTGTGCTACATAGTGAGTTTAAGGCCAGCCTGAACTACAGAGCAAAATCTTGTCTCAAAAAACCAAAAATAAAATAAAGTAGAAAAAGGTATCCCCCTCTCCTTAACCTCACCCCTACACCGGCTGGGGCATCCTCTTAGGCTCTGCTACCATTCAGGACAGTAGCTAATGTATAGGTTTACAGGTCTTAATACCCAAGGCCTTGCTGTTTAGAAGGGCCCCAGAAACTGGGCTTCTGTTGAACACAAAGAAATAAATGTCTCACCAGCCTTGGTAATGCACACTTGTGATCCCAGGCTAAGGCTCAGGAGGCTGAGGCAGGAGGATTGAAAGTTCAAGGCCAGGGCTGGGGATTTAGCTCAGTGGTTCCAGCACCTGCCTCACAAGCACAAGGTCCCAAGTTTGATCCCCGGTACCAAAAAAAAAAGAAAGTTCAAGGCCAGTTTGGCCAACTTAACGAAATCCTGTCCCAAAATAGATAGGGCCAGGGATTTAGCTCAGTGGTGCTGCTCCTGCCTCGAAAACTCAAGGTTCTGAGTTCAATCCCCAGTACCAAAAAAAAAAAAAAAAAAGACAGGGCTGGGGTTGTAGCTTAGTAGTAGAGCAGTTGCTTACCATGTGCAAGGCTCTGGGTTCAATGTTCAGCACAAAACCAAAACCAAACCAAAACAAAAACCTCTCAATGTGGGTGTCAAGGGAGCTGTGTATGTTAGATTGTATTTTCTGGGGTAAAAAAAAGCTTTGGGGAGTGTGGTCAGGTATATAGAATTCTCTGCCTAGAAGCCATTGCCTCTCTCTAAGGTAAGGTGAGCACAATTTGCTATAAGGCTGACAAGACAAAGGATGCAATGTCAGAGGAAGCAGACTTAGAAAGGAAGGGAGCAGGAAAAGATCATAAATGTCAAGTACCTGGGTTCTGGGGGAGCAGATGCTCCGTCTGATCCTCCTGAGCCTCAGTGCTGTCTGCACCTGGATGGAAGGCAAAAGCACCGGTCATTCAGAATGGGGCCAGAAGGTGCCGCAGAGAGGACACAAGAGGCAGGGGAGGTGGTACCTTCCTGTGGGTCAGGGCTGCTGCTGCAGCTCCCACTGTCTAGGTGGCCTGCTCTGCCAGCGGCTCTCGCCTCCTCCTGCACGCAGAGTCTAACATCAGCCCACCTCGCTCTCTAGTTACTGTCCTGCCTCAGGCCCACCCAGTCCCCTCCCCAGCTCTCACATTACTGAAGGGGTCCTGGAGGCAGGATAGACTGAGTGTGCAGCTCTTCACGGTCTCTTCCTCCTCCTCCCTCTGTGGAGACACAGAACTTCGGTGTCGCTTTGATGATTTCTGGGTCCCTGGCTGGGCTGTGCAATTGTTGAGGGAAGACAAACAGAATCTTAGGAAAGAAGGGAGGCAAGGGGTCTGAAGAGATGGTCTGGACTGGGAAGGGGAAACTGGGCAGCAGCTCCTCAAAGGCAGGGACAGGGCAGAAGCCTGAGGGGCCTTAGGAGGCTCCTCTCTTCATCCTTCCTCCTCAGTCTGCTGGGCGGTTGGGGAAGTGGTCACTCACCAGGCAGGGTTCCTGGAGGCAGCAGCCGATATACCTTGTAGGGCTCAGCAACATCCATACGGCCTCTCTCAGGAACCTCCTTAAATTCTGGACTCTTGTTGAGGGCACAGCGAAGACGAGTCTTCCAGACAGCAGGGCCTCGTGTGTCCCCCTCCTTGTACTTTCCCTTAAATACTGCCCAGGCCTAGTGAAGAGGAGGGAAATGTTACATACCCCAGCTGTCCCTCCAATGGGCTAGGTCCAGGGCCTGTGCAGGTGCAAGGCTGTAAGCTCAGATGGGCTTGTGCTAGGTGACAGAGGCAGAGCCGGACCTCCCACCAGGCAGATTCTCCCACCAGGCAGATTCGCTACCTGCATCCACAGGAGCAGAGATAATAGAAAGCCAGGAACTGCACTGCTGCTCTCACCACGGCCCTCTTTATCAGCCAGCCCCAGGCCCATCACCCATGGGACTCTAACATTTTCCACCCTCTGGACCAGTTTCCCCTTCCCTACCTACACTCCCCTGTATCAACTGGACACACCCTCCTCTCAGTGCCAATGGCCTTTTTCGACCTTGGCCCATCTGCACCCAGATGACAATAAACTCATCGCATGTTGCTTCAATTTTGCCTGCCTTGGTGGTCTCAATCGTGCCTCAGTCTGACCTTACACTAGGTTTGTGTTTTGCTATCTTGAAATCTTTATTTGCAGTACTGGCAGTTGAATCTAGGGCCTTCCTACTGAGCTAATCCCCAGCCCTTTTTATTTGAGGTAAGGTATGTGCCACATTATCTAGGTGGGACTCAAACTTAGGATTTTCCTGCCTCAGCTCCCAGAGCGCTGGGATTACAAGTGTGCCACCATACCCAGCGCCGTATTGAAATCCTTAATAATAATTTAATGTGGGATTCTGCATTTTCATTTTGTATTGAGCTCTACAAAGAACACAGTTGGACCTATGCCCCAAGCTGCCCCATATCTGAAACCCAGAGAGAGAGAGAAAAGGGACTTAGAGCAAGCACACCAGTGTGTATTCCATCCCCGAGGAGGTATCGGGTTCTAGGCCCTTTCACCTTGAAGAAGAGGGCATCCTGGTCCTCCCGGAAGTCCTGCTTGCCTGCATGCTTCCAGGGAATCCGGAACATGGTCTTAGCTGGCTCATCATCCCAGCACACCCCTGGGAACTGCCCACTCTCCACTTGTTCCACCACCCAGCTTCGGAGCTTCCGGGTGCAGCGAGCCCTGCCTGATGCCATCCTGGGAGAAAGAGAAGCAGCAACCATCACAACCAGCACTTGGGGAGAGAACATCTACTAAGCCCCTGACCACTGAGGTCAGCTTCTGGCAACAGCCCCCAGAGACCCATCCATCATCTTTTGGCTCTACACATACCTCAACCTTCTCCGAGGCAGATTTTTGTTGAGACAGGGTCTGGCTATATATTTCAGGCTGCCCTCGAGCTCACTATGTAGCCCAGGCTGGCCTCCAACTTATGGTAATCCTCCTGTCTCAGCCTCCCAAGTGCTGGGATTACAGGCGTGCACCACCACACCTGGCTTTTGAGGCAGAATTAGTCCTTTCTGCCATCACTAGTAATTATTTTAAAAGTAATTCTTTTTTAACATTCCAAGCTGATACTTGAAAGGAAACCTTAGACACTGGTCTAAGACTTCAGCACTGGATTGCTTGGGAGAGAAGAGAATTCCCTTGGTGTTCTGCTCCTGGTGAGAGGCTGTTTAGCGTCTCAATCCTTTGTTACAGGCAGAGATGGTCTCTGAGATGCTTCATCAACCCTCCTTACCTATCCCCCTCCACGGCCCATCTTTGACCTTTGGCCCCCCTGTTTGCCCCAGGGGTAGGTGGGGCAAGGAGATGAGGTCAGAGTCGTAGCTACAGCATAAGTGGGCAGAGCCAGTGGGCAAAGAAATAAACAGGGTCAACTGAAGCTGGGCTAAGAGCCTTCCTCCAGACTCACAGGCTAGTTCCTCTCTGCCCCTTTCACAGGGCCTGGGAACACTGGCCCTTACCGGGTCTCTCCTATCAGTACTCCAGCCAATTCACCCTGCTTCCTGACTCACAGGCCTTTTGTCTAACCCTCCAGCAGAGGACCCCAAGGAGCCCCCCGACTTCCCGGGGGGTGCCGTCCGATATTACTGGGCCTTCCGGCTCCAGATGCCGGGCGGACTCCCGTCTTTGGCTGCTCTTACCTGAGCTGCTGTCCGGGCTGTTCCAGGGCTCAGTGCACCTGAGCTTTTAGCTAGGCCGCTGTATTATCTCTCCACCCCTTTCTAGAGTCCCCACCCTAAGTTTCAGTTTTCCTTCAGGGACTTCCCATTCCCAGAAATCACGTGGTTGGTCCGAGTTGCAGGGCAACCGGCTACCACTAGAGGGAAGCAGCACTTCAGGTTTGTCACACAGTTCCACTGTCAGCAGCAGGGGTCTCCCCTCTGCTCCTGCATGACTCCTTCCTTCCCTTTCCTGGCTGATACTCCTTGCTTGCATCTGTCCTTTTCTGTGACACTGCTTTCTCCACAGGGAGGCCAGTTTTCTGAGGTCTGGCGTGGAGCTTCAGGATCACATGTACACCTGTGTGTCTGTGTACCCCCACAGTGGACACTTGGTACAGCTGGGTTACCTCCAATACTAGCTGAATTCCATGAAAGGAAGAAGGGAGGCCTGCAGGGAAGCCCAAGCCAGGTGGTTGGATGGGGAGAGCCTCCCTGCCCTTCCATGACTCCAGTTTCTTTCTTGCCTTAATCCAGGGTGGGTCAGATGGCAGGCAGCAGGAGAACCTTTCAGCAAAACTGTTCACCCCATTTCCCTGGTGCCCCTAGATGGTGGGACCAGGAAGAAGGACCACCAAGAAGCCTGGCAATAAGATGCCTCTTTATTGGTGCTGGAGCTGATCCTGAGGGAGCTGGGCCACTGGGCCTTCCTGAAGACCCTTGCCCTCAGCTACTTCCTCCTGCGGGGGATACTCTGTCCCAAGGGCACCTCTTCCATCAGCTTCTGCAGGAAGAGAGAGAGGATAATGATACTGGATGCCTGGAGCTCAGAAATAGGCTGGGACAGGTGACTTCTGGAGGGTGGTATCAATAAGGTTGAGCAAAAGCATTACCTGTAACAAACGGGCTTGGTAAGCAGGGGGATCCTCTCCAGCCAAGGCCTGGGGGTGCACATGCAGGTAGCGCTCAGTGGCTGTCTCTAGCTCCTCCACTTCGTACAGAGTTGCTGGGTCCAGTGAGTGGGCATTGATGAGGCTCACAAGATACTCTTTGTAGTGTGCCCTAGGGAGATGAGGGAGTAGGACACTTGTTCTCCTGTTGATTAATATTAACTGAGTGGGCCTAGCACCTTGCTGGGCACTGGGATCCTCAGACAAACAAGACAGCTCCTTGCTGAACATGCTGGTGCATGCCTCTAATCCCAGCACTTTGGGAGGTTGAGGCAGGAGGATAACAAATTTGACCTCAGCCTGGGCAACTTAGTAACTTCAAGACCTTAGTCTAGGCAACTCAGTGACTCTGGAAGACCCTATGTCAAAGATAGGAATGTAACTCAGTGGGAAGGCCCCAGGTTCAATCCCCAGTATCACAAAGTCATGGTGGTACATGCTGGTAATCCCAGCGCTTGGGAGGCTAAGGCAGGAGGACTGCTGTGAGTTCGAGGCCAGTTTGGGCTACATAGGGAGTTTAAGACCAGCCTGAACTACACAGCAAGATCATGTCTCAAAATACCCAAAACCAAACTAAACCAAACTGACAATTGCTGCCTGTTGTACTTACAAGGCAGTGCCAGCCAGTGTCTACTTCTACTACCCATCCATGCCCCATTCCAGAAGAGCCTCCTCTCTCCTACTCTGTAGGGCCTACTGCTCCCAGAGACCCTACTTCATGGCCTGGCCACACTCTCACCATGCCTATCTCCCACCCCCAACACCGTGCTTTGTGCCCTGCCCACCACTCACTGGCAGAGGCCGGCATAGCCAGGTAGAGTTTCCTTGCCACAAGCTTCATCCCTGAGCCCATTGGGAACCTCCTTCTGCTCCATCACTCGGCAGCCACCTAAGGGTAAGGGGAGGAAGGGACCTCTTGTTGGGAGGGGACCGTTGGAGGGGCCCTCCAAAAGCCTGGAGACTTGGGATATTCAGGGGCACGTGGAGGAACCTCCAGGGAGAGGATGGAGCACAGAACTGGGCTCCACTGGTGGTGGTGGTGGTGGGCTCCTTAAAGGAGGCCATTAGCAGCACACCAACTCTGATCCAGACACAGGGACCTTGCTGTCCCTACTTTTACCCATGGTGGCTTTTGTCCCATAATCACATACTCTCTCGTATCTCTCTTGTTATTTAGTTCCTGCATGGTTAACTTACCTGTGTCCCTCATGGAACCTACAACAGTAACCCTGAAACCAGCAGGTCTCATTAAATACTCGCACAATTTATCAATGAAGCATTATCATTTGAGAATGTGAGAAGAAACAGCATAAGCACTATGTGATTTAATGATTTTGTAAAACAGCTTAGCAGCAAAATGAATATTATCATCCTCACTTCATAGAGGGGAAAACAAGACCTGGGGAGGATAATTAGCTGGCCAAACTGCTCCCACACTGCCACATAGGAGTCCCACACACCATCTCCCCTTCTCAGAGGCCTGTCCGACACTCACCTCCAGGGACTGCTCGGGCTCCAGCGGGAGGCTCTGTATTAAACATGATGTGATTGTCCTGAGGAGGGGCAGAGACAATGGGTGTTATGTTCTCCTTGATGCCAGCTACTGTTGCACTTCCTAGCCTTCTGTGCCCACCTTGGACCCTGCAAGAATGTTTCCACTCATGCCCACCCTGTACCCTTCTTCCTCCTCCTCCTGAACAACCTGCAAACCCAACCAGGCCAGCCACCTCTGACCTGTAGCAGCTTCTGGAGCCGGCCAGCAGACCAATCTCGAAGGTAGAAAAGGCAGTCTCGAGGGTGGTGACCATGCAGGGACTTTTTCACTCTGCAGTTAGGGTCTGGACATTTCTGGTGGAAACCCAGATGGGAAAGGAAAACTTAAGAGACTGCTGGGGTCTTGGCTTCTCAGGAACCCCTGTGCGAGGGGCATGGGAGGAAGGGACACTGGAAGGTCCAGAGCAAGTGAAGGGCATCCAACTGATCTCTTTTTCCCCCTGGGCTGTTCTTCAATGGGCCCTGCCCCTCAAACCCAATGGCAGCCCACCCTTCCCTCCCTTCCCCACCCTCTGAGCTCACATTCTTGGCGTAAAAGGTATTGTAGCAGCCACTGCAGAACTGGTGGCGGCACTGGGTGCAGTGGAAATGCATGCAGCCTCCTCGAGCCAGTGCATATGAGAACTTGCATTTAGGACAGTCTGTAAGGGACAGCAGTTCAGGACTGGAGCTGCCACTGTAACTCAAGCCCCTCAAGGACAGAACTGCTGCCAATGATAGACTACCAAGCAGACAGACCAGAAGGGCGGCCTTACCAATGCCATTTTCCTGAAGATACATTGCCAGGCCCTGGGCCTGGTATTCTGGGTCATTATTGCGTTTCCAGTTCTGGAAATCCTCACAGCTCTGTCCTCGGTGCTGCTCCTCCCACTGCCGGAAGGAAAGGAGCTCTGTCCCATGCGCTGGCCCTTCCACTCACACCTGGTGGTTCCCTGTTTAGTGTATTTGCTCACATGCTGAGGGGTCATCTTGGTTCTTATACCTATGTTCTTATATCTGTGTTCTTATACCATCTCATATTCATTAACAAGTCTAGTTTCTACCACTCCAAACCTATCTCAACCCTGTCCCTTTTCTTTATCCCTACTAACACCACATTTCTCCAGGCCATCCTCAAGGCTTGCCTCAATTACCTGCTTGGGTGACTAGTCTTTCACTTCCACTCCCTGTGGCCCATTCTCCATACTCCTACAAAAGACCTTTCAAAGCTAAGTTGCGAGCTTAACAGTATTGGTAGGTGGCAGGGTCTGGTGGCAAGGTCTCAGGTGTTCATTTTGTTATGTTTCATAATGTAGATGCAAGTCTTTCGGTATCAAACGTTACATTTCATAAACGATAAATGAGACATGTCAGCCCCTGTTCAGTCTCGGAATGAAGGCACATGCTTGTCTGGCTTGGCCTCAATGGCTGCAGGATCTAGCCACATAAGACTTTCTCACTTTGGCCTTTTTTTGGTTTGTGTTCTCTGTCCCAAACACTCTGCATGGCTGGCTTCTCAGCTTTCAGGCCTGAGCTTAAATTAAATCATTTTAGAGAAGACTTCTTTGACCTTTCTATCCTCAGTAGGTCCCTGCTGCTATTCCATTGCTCAGATTTCTACTGTTTCTGTTTTCTTTATAGAATTTATTATGGCTATGTAAAATTATTTCCTCCCTCCCTTGATTTTCTTCCATCCTGTCTCTTTTCCCTTTCCTTTCTTCACCTTCCCTTTTCCTGCTTTCCCTTCTCCCTCTCTCCTTCCTCCCCCTTTCTTCCTTCTTGCTCCCTCTCTCCCTCCTCCCCCTCTTCTTGGGCATGGCTCCCTATCTCCTAAGTTCTTTGAGCTCAGCGCACATGTCTGCGTTGCCTTCCAATACACTCCGTGAGTCTAACAGTTCCCGGAAGTAGCTTAATAAATATTTCTCTAAGAAAAAAAAAAAAAATTTCTCTAAGGATAAACACTGAGACTCACCTGGCGCTTGCAGCGGACACAGAAGGTATGGTGACACTGGGGACACGTCGCCTCCAGCTGTTCACGCTCATATATGAAGCCGAAGGAGCACTGTGAGTGCGAGAACATAAAGCTATTCAAGGCCTTACCTGCATTGTCCCTGTCCCTCGACAGTCAGCTCTTCTGGGCTGGCCACTGACCTGGGCACACCACAAGAAGTTGGGGTCCCGCATTAGCTCGGCCTCAGTCAGCTTCTTAAGGAACAATGCATAGGCATCTGGCTCTAGACTCTCCCGAAGCTGGGGACAAGATGCAGAGGTGGTGTGGGTGGGTACAGTTACTGCCCAAAGCCTAAGGCACCTGAACCCTAAAGGCTGCAGTACCTGGATGTCAAGGGTAGAGAAGTAGCCGTGTAACTGTGTGTCATCTGTGAGGTCGGGGCGGCCACAGGCAGGGCATACCATATCTGTGATGTGCTTTTCCTTCAAGGCAATGGTGAAGTGTTGGCGGAAGCAGTCAGGGCAGATGGTGCACTCACAGGAAGTCAGAGCTTGCATCTATGGGGGAAGGGCAAGAAAGATGCGGCGGGTGGTAATGGTGGTGTCAGAAGCCACAGCTGCCTGCTGCCTGCCCTGGGAAGGGGCAGTAGCTTTCAAGTGACTACTGTAAAACAAAGATTTAATTAACTGGGCAGATGTACCAATTTCAAATGCCAACAAGGTGCCCGGCAAGCAGCCCAGCAACTCAAATGTCTGTTAACAGGTGGAGGTAAAGACAAAACTGTCCCTAAAGGCATTCATGTTCAATTAAAAGCAAACACAAATAACATCGCCGAAATGGCACTAAAGAGATGCAGAACAATTACCGGTTGCCAGGTGACCACTGTGGGGGGGATTCCTTTTTTTTTTTTTTGGTACCAGAGATTGAACTCGGGACCTTGAGTTTGCGAGGCAGGCAGCAGAACCACTGAGCTAAATCTCCAGCCCCTTAGGCGATTCCTTTGTGGTGATAGAACAATCTGTATCTTGATTATGGTGTTGGTTATATGTATCTATACATGGGATAAAATTGCAAAAAA